ATCTAGCTAAAGAGAGCGAATATCTCAAACGCCTCAAGGCAGAGTTTCATGATGATATTGAGAAGTATGGAACACGTTTAAACTTTAACACAACGGTAAATTACTTCAGGAACAATTTTCACTGTAGTGGAAATATATTCCACCGTTCCTGGTTCTGTGGTCTATTCTGATCTGTTCTAGAATATTGTTCTATTTCAACTGATTTTGGTTCTTATTACTATTCTATATATCTGCTTATAGATCTCTCAGAAATAATGAGTTGGTGGTTGGCCGTCTTGCCCTGTACATCTTGGCTTTAAAGTCTTCCTGTCATGATCTGGAGAGTGTACATCTCACTCATAATGAAATAAAGGAGTCTCTCCTCATTCACCTAAAGAAAGAGATGGAGGAAGAAAAACAAAACATTGCATGTGAGGGGCGATTTTTTTGTAATAGGGTCTGGTAGATTTTTTTTATGTTTTTGAAAGAAGTCACTTATGCTCGCCATGGCTGCATTTATTTGATTAAAAATACAGTAAAAACAGTAATATAGTCAAATGTAAATGTTTTAATGTGATGGCATAGCAGAATTTTACATTACTCATTAGTCCAGTCTTCAGTGTCACCTGATCTTTTTGTGCTGCTTAATATTTTTGAGGAAAACTGGTAGATTTTATTTGAAATAGAAATCTTTTGTAAAATAAATTTTAATGCATCCTTGCTGAATAACAGTATTAATAAAAAAAAAAAAACTTACGGACACCAAACTTTTGAACAATAGTGTATATGTAATTTTGTTGTACTGTAATTTTAATATTAACTCTTTTCTGCAGTCGGTCACCGTCCAAAGACCAACTACTATCAGTACTCTCTGGGCATTCTGGCTCTGTGTGTGAGCGGTGTTAGAGTCAGCACACATGTCAGCCAAAAGCTCATCCATGCTGTGGAACACAGACAGATAAAACACGGAGAGTCATTATGTGTCGGTGAGTTTAAATCAGCTCTTTTTTGGTTCACCTAAACATGAAAATTCTGCCAAATTTGCCCATTGGCCTCTGACCATCAATGCCTCCTAATCATCCCCATACACTGATTGGCTTCATAACTCTGTCTCCTCTCCACCAATAAGCTGGTGTGTGGTGGGTGTTCTGTATATTTCAACTGATTTTGGTTCTACTTGAATTATTACTATTTTATATATCTGCTTGCAGATCACTCAGAAATAATGAGTTGGTGGTTGGCCGTCTAGCTCTGTACATCTTGGCTTTAAAGTCTTCCTGTCATGATCTGGAGAGTGTACATCTCACTCATAATGAAATAAAGGAGTCTCTCCTCATTCACCTAAAGAAAGAGATGGAGGAAGAAAAACAAAACATTGCATGTGAGGGGCGATTTTTTTGTAATAGGGTCTGGTAGATTTTTTTTATGTTTTTGAAAGAAGTCACTTATGCTCGCCATGGCTGCATTTATTTGATTAAAAATACAGTAAAAACAGTAATATAGTCAAATGTAAATGTTTTAATGTGATGGCATAGCAGAATTTTACATTACTCATTAGTCCAGTCTTCAGTGTCACCTGATCTTTTTGTGCTGCTTAATATTTTTGAGGAAAACTGGTAGATTTTATTTGAAATAGAAATCTTTTGTAAAATAAATTTTAATGCATCCTTGCTGAATAACAGTATTAATAAAAAAAAAAAAACTTACGGACACCAAACTTTTGAACAATAGTGTATATGTAATTTTGTTGTACTGTAATTTTAATATTAACTCTTTTCTGCAGTCGGTCACCGTCCAAAGACCAACTACTATCAGTACTCTCTGGGCATTCTGGCTCTGTGTGTGAGCGGTGTTAGAGTCAGCACACATGTCAGCCAAAAGCTCATCCATGCTGTGGAACACAGACAGATAAAACACGGAGAGTCATTATGTGTCGGTGAGTTTAAATCAGCTCTTTTTTGGTTCACCTAAACATGAAAATTCTGCCAAATTTGCCCATTGGCCTCTGACCATCATCGCCTCCTAATCATCCCCATACACTGATTGGCTTCATAACTCTGTCTCCTCTCCACCAATAAGCTGGTGTGTGGTGGGTGTTCTGGCACACTGGCTGGCGTCGCATCATCCAGGTGGATGCTGCACACTGGTGGTGGTTGAGGAGTTTCCCCCGCTTTCATGTAAAGCGCTTTGAGTACCCAGAAAAGCGCTATATAAATGTAACAAATTATTATTATTATGTGTCGGTGAGTTTAAATCAGCTCTTTTTTGGTTCACCTAAACATGAAAATTCTGTCATCATTTACTTACCCTCATGTAAATCCAAACCCCCATATGACTTTCTTTCTTCTGTGTTGCACAAAACATTTCAAGCAATTACAATGAATGGAAACTGAAGTCTTCACACTTCAAAAAAGGATGCAAAATACTGTCAAAGTATCCCATATTTCAAATTTTCTGAAGCCATACAGCTTCATTAAAGTGCGATGTCCAGCACAGTCAAAATTTCTCCTTTGTGTTCTCCTTATGTATTAAACTTAAGGAAATATGTTCACTTGTCCTGAGGTCACTAACCAATATGACTTCCTTCTTCACCCTTCAGACTCGCATGCGATGGCAGGCATGGCCCTGCAGTGTCTAAAAGACGAGGGACCTGCTGTTAAAAATACTGCAGAGCTAGACAGGGCACTTGCCACTATTAAGCAGAAGCTTCTTGACTCTAAGAGAACTGATGGTCACATGGGCAATGAGTTCAGCACAGGATTGGCAGTGCAGGTAAGAATAAAGATATTAAACATTTGGTTAAATGAAAAAGCCTTATTTGCATGACAGGTTCTCATTGTTCTCTGTTTTACAGGCCTTGATGGCTATGGGCAGTCAGATGGAGGAATGTGGCTCTGCTATGGAGGCTTTAAGGGCAGATGTTATGAAAGGAACATACCATAACCCTATGGCAGTCTCCCAGGTCCTGCCAGCTCTACACCAACGCACTTATCTTCAATTGAAGAGCCAAGAATGCCGCAATGAGGATGGTACGTACAACAGACATACAAGCTCATTTAAGTATCAATCAGCAGAATTGCATTTGCAGTCCTAAGGCTTGTTTTTCCGAAGATAAACAAAATAGGCTGCATTTTTATTTATGTTAATAAACCTGTATGCATAAAGGAAATGTACCATTAAATGCACTATTAAAATTATTCAATTGTAATTATTATTCTAAATTATTACAATTATTAAAACACAATATATTAAGAGTATTTCGGCGTTATACATTATATAAAAATATTATATTTAATGTTTAGCAGCTAATTAGAGTTTAATTAGGCAGGTTAAACTCAAAATTAGTTTTCCTAATAACTTCTGGGGGGGGGGGTTCTCCTTTTTTTAAATTTTCCATGTGCTTCTGGTTTGATGTCCCTGCTTTTAGACACTCTTACTATTGATGCGGATTCCGCTTCAGAAGTCCTCCCAAGTCACGGGCAAGTGTCTCTACAGGTGGAGGTTATTAAATCAAACGGTGCATCATCTGTGTTTTCCATTCATGTACCCACGGGCTCCTCCCTATTTGAAGCCCTCAACCTTCTTCAAGACAAACAAACTGGTTTCACGTGAGTTTGGATTTCTTAAGATACTTCATTTGAAATATATTGTCAAATCAATTTTGTTTGCTTTTTTACTGTATTAATTACAACTCTTTTTTTTATGGATTTTGTTTACGAACAACCCTTTTGCTCTGTGTATCACAGCTTTAGCACAGAGGACAGCTTGTGGGGACCCTTCCTCAGTGTGGTCAATGAAGAACAAGCCCGTCAGACTGATCGTAGATACTGGCATATCTCCTCAGATGGCAGCTCTCTAAAACAGGGTGAGAACAAACATTCGTTTTACATAAAATAGGCGTATCAATGCACGTCTATAAAAATGTATGGCACAATGTTTTTCAGACAGTTTTATAGTCTCTATATATCCTATATTAATGTGCGATGCTATGCATTTCTCCTCAGGTATCAAAGACTATAAGATTGATTCAGCTCAAAACATCACCATTAAGAGCACTGGGTACTGATTCCTCAGCTGGGTGCAAGAGAAGAGATGAATGGGATGAAACCTTAATATGTTTAAGAATTCTACTGATATAATTGAGTTTGATCTTTTTCTTGTCATAAACAACTTTCTGTTTGATTGTTGCCACAGTTTGCCTGGATGTATAAAGGTTCATGAAAACAGGAATCAGAACATAGCAATAATGTTGGTATTTTACTTAGAGATTTAATGCAATATACCTTTTGAAATCTAACATATCTTTTTTTGTGTGAGACTGCAGCTGCTACGAATCTAGATGAACAAATATAAAATAAATAGATAACGAATTTTTAAAAAATCTGTGGCTTCTTTAAAATGCAAAGAAAACCGTATCTCACACCATGGAGATAAAATGTTCACTGTAGCATATGGTTGCATATAGTTGCACTAATGAAGCACATTAATGAAGACACCTAACATATATTCCCTAACGTTACTTTTCATGTTGAACCAAAACGTAAAACCAGCGGAGCAGTTTGATACGTGGTATATACATTGTTATGGCCACTCCGTATGGAAGAACATCGAGTAATGAACCCTTTTTCTCAAAGGAAGTCTCAAGTTCGTTAAGCCATCATCATTATTTTATGCACAGCTGTGCTATTGCTCTGCTAATTCAACCTTCAGAATCTGGTCTTACTGGTGAAATCAGTGAAGACTGCAGAAGCAAATTAGCTTTTTTAGGTAACTGAAACGACACCTGGGTTGTGCATGGTTTATTATGAAAATAAATTAAATAAACCAGACCACGCATATATAGGAGTGAAACACTGTATCGTGTTTTTGTTTTACTGTCCAACCCCTGTACGTGATATGTGTGTCATATTGACATTATCTAGGTTTTCAGTGAAATTCTCGGCTAACGAACTTGTATTGAGACTTTTATTTTGAAATGTAATATTCGTGAGCGTAGCTGACCTTACCCGTACGTACTTCACAAATACACAGAGCAACATTTCAATGATTTCATTATTGATACGCTGTGGAGGTTTTAGTATGAACACACTGCACAGCGAGTCACAAATGTAAGATGTGGAGGGTTGGATCCAATCACTTAGTTGGTCTAGTATAGACGACAATACCACTGTAAGTACAAGAGCATCACAAATCTGATAGAAATCTGTTAAATATACAGTAAACGTTAGTCAGTTCCGCGCTAGCAAACGGCTAGTATTTACAAGCGGCTGTCAACTATCTGACTTAACAGCAATCCACAATAGTACGTTTGTTTATATACAATTTGCGTTTTTTTAAAAGATTCTTTGAGTGCTTTGTGCATACACTATTTTCTATATATAAACATCACGGTCATTTCTATAATGGTAGAAGTCGCAGTCTCAGGTTGTGTCTCAAAACTTAGCGAGCTGCTTACCTCGACAGCATTTTGGACATCATTATACACGCACTTATGGTACTCCAAAATGTTGTCTAGGTAGGCAGCTTACTAGGTTTTGAGACACAGCCTTAGGCATCGCTGCAAATTGGAGTTAACGTTACTGCAGCACTCTGCAGCATGTCAATACATGAAAGAGGCTAGTTATGTCATTTATATGTCTACAGCTGCATGTCTTCATATAATGCATTGCATCTTCATTCAGTTGAGCTCACTGTTGTTTCCTGTATGTTGTAGTAGCAGAACCTGATGAGCACCTGAATGAGGGTCTTGTAATGCTGGACTGCAGTAGCTGTGTCATTCTTTTGAAAAGATCTCAATACATTCTGAGATATTATGCTGTGCCAAAGAATGACTCTCAAACTCTCAAACAAGAGTAGAAATGCTTCATGAGCATTGCAAGAAAACTGTCCACCCACAGACAGACAAACTGGGGACATCATAGAGACCTATTTGAGACTAGTAAATTTTACATCCATAATACACATCTAGAGGCATAAATTGGTCAAGATGTTTTCCGCTCTGAAGAAGCTCGTTGGTTCTGAGCCGGCTGGTCCAGTAAAGGACAAAAACATCCCTGCTGGCCTGCAGTCAATGAACCAGAGCCTGCAGAGAAGATTTGCTAAAGGGGTTCAATACAACAGTAAGTCAAATGCCTGCTGAGTTAAAACTTTGAGGGGAAATGTATTATTAATGATAATTAAGAATTAGAATGTGCAAGTTTTGAGATTGGTTGTAATTTATTTAACTGTTTTGATGTTTCTTTGCTTTGCCTCAATTTCTTACCAAGATTAGGCTAAATGAAAAAAGGCATACACATTGGACTAAATTATAACACACACAGCATGTCACCACAAATCAAGTCTGTGTTGCTAGAGCCCGAGGGCGCTGTGTGCTAGAGATAATGTTATTAACACAAGCTCTAACATGTTATGTGTGGTCTTTCAGTGAAAATAGTTATTCGAGGAGATAGAAACACTGGAAAAAGCACCCTGTGGCATCGGCTGCAGGGTAAGAAGTTCCAGGAAGAGTACATTCCCACTCAGGAGATCCAGGTCACTAGTATTCACTGGAATTACAAAAGTAAGCTTTTGTTGAAATCTTTTTACTTACAGGCTTTTGTACTAAAGTTTTATTTTTTATTTTTATCTAATGACATTTCTTTCCATTTATGCATCTTAAATATGTCAAAATAGATTTACATCAAGGTAAATATGCAATCTGTCAGACAGAGGATAAGTAGATTAGAAGTATGGCTTTTTAATGGCCTGTATCAAGTATTGGTAGCATAGTGATTGATCTAGAGTTTATTTTCCCTATTTATTTACATCCATCTGTCAAAAGCTCAACATCACGTGGTGTAACCTGTTGGCTGTAATTTACAGTGAGGCTTCCTGCTTTTGAGAGCGGGCATGGCTCTACTTGTATCCAGTGTGTTACTTGGAAAAACAAAGTGCTGTGCTCATTGCAAAGCACTTTTGGCAAAGTAAAAATAAAAGGAATAGTTCATCCAAAAATGAAAATCCAAGATGTAGATGAGATTTTCTTCATCGGAACATATGTTTTTATCAGCTATTTGGTTTCTCATTCTGATGGTACACATTCACTGCAGAGGGTCCAGTGGTGAGCAAGTGATGTAATGCTAAATTTATCTGTTCTAACGAAGAAAAAAAAAATCTTCATCTTGGATGGCCTTAGGATAATTTTTTTTTATGATCATATTTTCATTTTAGATTAATTATTCCTTTAGGAATAAGTTAATAAAAAAAATCAACAAGAAAATTCTTAGGCTGTGGAAATTTGTATTTGTATTGCTGTAACTTAGAATCACCGCAAAATAAATGTATTGAAAGGAATGAAAGGAAGCAACCTCAGTTTTCCAGACCTGCTCAAATTCTTCTAATTTCCCTTCAGCTACTGATGATGTGGTGAAGGTAGAGGTTTGGGATGTGGTTGATAAAGGTGAGTTTTCTCCAGTCTATTACAAGTAATTTCTCAGCATTCAGATCAGGTGACTTTATAGACTTTATTAGTGTCATATTTATCTTAAGGCTGGAATACACTACAAAACTTTTGCACAGTTTTGCCCTGATTTGCTGTCTGGAGGAGTTAATGCTTACAGCCAGCAGATATTGGGCAGTCAAAGTTGACAGATTTCACAGAAAATGGCATAATTTATGATGGGCACAGACTCTGATGTATTTATTTTGTGCTTCAGTCTGTAATTCCAACCATTTGGAAGACATCAAACATGTTTTATATTTTAAGCAAATTTTAGAACAATGTTTTCATTTGTCTCTTGCCTCTTTTAGCAACAAGGTGCATGTTTGGGTTTGAGCTTGTTACGTCTGATAGTGCGTGACACTCAGCTGTTTATTGTGCAATGTCCAAATGTTCTCTGTAACCATTTACAAAGTCTGGAAGTGTATGATGATTAGTTTTAGAAAATCTGTTTTCATGTAGTGTATTCTAGCCTTCATGCATTTTCTTGTTTATGCCAAGTTTAGTGTACAGGTACTGCATGTCATTGTTTAATTCACTTCCTCCATCTCATTCTAATGGTCACACATGAAGTCATTTCATCAAGCCCTCCTTCATCCCCAGTCATTTATATTAATGGTATTTTTCTTACTTGCTGTCCAACCAGGCCAAAAAATCCCCCTTCCAGAAGGTGTAGGTGAGAAACTTCAGAGATTGTAGACTTTAGGCTGTGACTTGCCTGTGCTTGATCCATTTGTTCTTTTACCTGAGTGCCAACATGTTATGTTGACTGAATTTTCAATCACTGCATTGTGGCAGACTATATGTAACTAGTCTAACGTGTCTGCTGGACTACAAGTGTAAAAAATGGAAGGTGAAGATACCCAGATACCACAAAACCATCTCTTGCTAATGCCACTAGTGTCGCTTCCTTTGTGAAAAGGCAGAAGCCACAAAAACAATTGCTATCTGTTTTTGATACTGCTTTTGAAGTTACTGAAAGTTGCTTTCAACTAATGATGAAGTCAAATTTAATGTATTCTTACAATATTCTGGCTTTCTCTAGGAAAGGGAAAAAAGAGATGTGAAACCTTGAAGTTGGACAATGAACCTCAAGAGGTAAATCTATAGTGATAATCTACCAATATCTAACAGGCTGTTCCAGTTATGCTACCGTTGGTTATCAGTAAGATTTTTTTATTTTATGAAAGAAATTAATGCTTTTCTTTAGCAAGGATGCGTTGAATTGACCCCCCAAAAATTATATTTCAAATAAACGTCGTTTGCTGTTTTCAAGACTAATAATAATGCAAAATGTATCCTGAGCACAAAATCAGCATATTTAACGATTTTTGAAGGATAATGTGACACTGAAGACTGGAGTAATGGCAGCTTTGCCATCACATGAATAAATTACTTTTTCAAATATATTAAAATAGTAAGCAGTTATTTTAAATTGTAAAAATATTTCACAATATTACTGTTTTTACTGCATATTTTAATCAAATAAATGCAGCCTTGGTGAGCATGAGAGACTTCTTTCAGAAACATAAAAATTTCTCTGTGCCTTCAGCAAACTGAGAGTGAACTGGCCTTGGATGCTGAGTTTTTGGACGTGTACAAAAACTGCAATGGTGTGATCTTGATGTTTGACATCACCAAGCAGTGGTAGGTGAACAAATACAATTAGCATCTCTATAGACTACTTCTCCAGCATGCTAACTTCAGCTAGCCCTTAGTTTTACAAATCTATGCTTTTTATGATCCAATAGGACTTATAATTACATTTTGCGGGAGTTGCCCAAGGTTCCCACTCATGTGCCAGTGTGTGTACTTGGAAATTACCGGGACATGGGAGAACACAGAGTCATTTTGCCTGATGACATCCGTGACTTCATTGCTGGCCTTAACAGGTTAGGGGCTGATGTTGAATTAAAGAGTTGAAATAGTGACTATGTTCGCTAATGAGATGTGTTTACGATCTTGTATTATTGTTAGTGGGCTGATGTTTGATGTCTCCATGATTTTGTAGACCCCTTGGTTCCTCTTACATCCATTATGCAGAATCTTCCATGAAGAACGGTTTTGGTTTAAAATATTTGCACCGATTTTTCAACATTCCATTCTTGCAGCTTCAGGTAAGCAGGTTCATTTTCTAGCCTAGAATATCTCTTCAAGGCTAAAGGTTTATTCAAATTAAAACTCAACCAGCTACCAGACAAAGCTAGTGAACATTTGTAATTGTTAATATTGTCTAAGCTCAATAATCTGTGTCATGTGCCCAGCACAAATGAGATCAGTTATTTTTAACTGTATTCCCAGTTACTGTTCCCATTACTCTAGTTGTTACAGCTTTCATTGAAACGATAGTGAATGAAACTTTAGTTTGAAGTTCTACTGCCAACTTCCACAGAGAGAGACCCTGTTACGACAGCTAGAGACTAATCAGTTGGACATTGATGCCACGCTAGAGGAGCTAACAGTTCAGCAGGAGACAGAAGACCAGAATTATGAGATGTAAGAACTAAAAAACACCCCAAACAAACTTCCTGTAGTTTAATTCCATCTGCTGGACAGTCAAAGCATTATTCTGATTCAAATATCAGCAACATTCCATGCAAATACAGCTATACAACTGTTCAAAAGTTTGGGGTCAATTATGTTTTTTAATCAATACTTTTTTCAACACAGATGCATTCATTTCAAGAAATTGTATAATTTTTAAATGAATAATTGCATAAATTAAAAGTGACAGTAAAGACATTTATATATATTATTTATTTATTTATTGAAGAATCCTGTAAAAAATTTAAAAAGGTTTGCAGCACAACTGTTCTCAACATTGATAAAAATAAGAAATTTTTCTTTGAGCATCTAATCAGCATATTAAAATGATTTCTGCAGGATCATGTGACACTGGAGTAATGGCTGCTGAAAATATAGCTTTGCCATCACATGAATAAATTACATTTTAAAATATATCAAAATAGACATTTTTTTTATTGTAATCATTTTTCAGAATATTACTGTTTTTACTGTTTTTGATCGAATAAATGCAGCTTTGGTGAGCATAAGAGACTTCTTTCAAAAACATTTAAAAAATCATACCAACCCCAAACGTTTGAACAGTATTGTACATTCCTTCACAAAAGTGAGATTGTTGGGCTGTTTGAAATTATGAGAACATGCTCAAATGCCTATTTTTAGGTTTGTGAACTGCAGTCAGTGCCGTCTGACTTTTGTGATACAGTAGGTGTCTGTTATAACTTTCAGTTTCCTGGAAATTAAAGACTCTGGTATTAAAGGCTACAGCTCTCCCGGCCCTGCTAACAGACAGAGCCCCTCCTCAGGCTCGCAGTCTCCCGTCGTTCCTCAGAGCGGATGCTCCACTAGCAGCTCCAGCCCCTGTAGCCCCCAGCAGCCTCCCATTCCCTCCCAGACCCTGAAGGCTCCATCCCCCTCTCCATCCCCTCCTCCTCCCCCTCTCTCCTCAACACAAGCGCCTGCGACCTCTCCCTCCCCTTCTCCTGCTCACCCTGGCCCGACGGTCTCTGCTCCAGCTCAGGCTTCTGCCTCTGCTACTCAAACCCAGAAACGCAGCTTCATCTCCAGGCTATTTGGCTCCGCTCCCACCCAGGATCCTCCAGCAGTCGCCCAGGGTGAGTTTTAGCGTGGTGCTTCTAGCTGCATGTCGGTCAAGTGATTGTAAGCTCTTCAACCAACAGTATTTGTGTTCATTCTCACATTTTTCTCAGCTATTCTTTGGATATTGTGCCGCATGACGGCTGTCATTTTCAGTGTGCTTATAAAATACTCAAAGCAGAAACATTCAGCTTTTATGTTGGACTAAAAATAGCTTTTACGTCTTTCCTCCTCAATTGTTCAGTGTTTCAGTGACTCATTGTTAAAGGACTGCTCTAATGCTATGAACTGCAGAAGAGATTTGAAGGCTGAGAGGAATTAATTCACACACACACATACACACACATTCTCTCTCAGAAGGAGTTTTCCCCGAGCGAGACCCACAAGGCTGTGAAAAATGGAGAGGATTAGGACTCGTGCACATCATAAGGATGTGTTGTGGATCAATAGAAAATCACAAGACCCTTTGCATTCCTGAATTATGGAGAGGGCTTTATTAGCTCCTGCACCCCACCTAAAGCAGTTAACAGTAGCGATTTCGAAAAATGCATGTTATTATATCAATTTTTTTTTCATGTATTACCATTCTTGTTTGGAGCTTATAGTAAGTGTTGCTGTTTATATATTTTTAATGTAAGTTGTTTTTGTCCCAGATCATGTGACCTCTTACTTCTTGGATTTCCACAGAGCCAGATCCAGTATCTGCAGCGGCTCCGCCTGCAGTTCAGAGCGTGGATGATTTTGTGCCAGACGACGGACTAGACAAAAGCTTCTTGGAGGACGGTGTCCCTTCTAACCCAAAACTGGCTATGAACACCCAGCCCTCTGCTGCGGGCCCTGCAGATAGTGACAGGTACATCAAGGGCAAATTAAAAGAAGGCATTCTTTATCAACTTTTATTATGTGATAATGCAATTTTTTATTATTTTTTTTATTCAAAGCGATATACACTACCATCCAAAGGTTTGGTTAAAATGGTTTTGAAAGAAGTCTCTTATGCTCACCAAAACAAATTGCATTTATTTGATAAAAAATAGAGTAAAAAGAGTTTTAATATATTGTACAATGTAATTTATTCCTGCGATGGCAAAGCTGAATTTTCAGCAGCCATTACTCTAGACTTCAGTGTCACATGATTCTTCATCTTTTCTTCATCAAATCATTCTAATATCCTGATTTGGTACTCCAAAAAAAATTTTTTTTATTATTATAAATGTTGAAAACATTTGTGCTGCTAATATTTTTGTGGAAACCGTGGTATCGTGATCCTGTGATATTCTTTGAATGAATGATTAATTCTTTGATTAAAGGGTTACTCCACCCCAAAATGAAAATTTTGTCATGAATCACTTACCCCCATGTCATTCCAACCCCGTAAAAGCTTCGTTCGTCTTCGGAACACAATTTAAGATATTTTGGATGAAAACCGGGAGGCTTGTGACTGTCCCATTGACTGCCAAATAAATTACACTGTCAGGTCCAGAAAAGTATGAAAGACATCGTCAGAATAGTCCACCTGCCATCAGTGGTTCAACCCTAACGTTATGAAGCGACGAGAATACTTTTTGTATGCGAAGAAAACAAAAATAATGACTTTATTCAACAATTTGTCACCATAGCGCCATTTTGGAGAGTATTCACTGAACGTAAACTGCGTATACTGTTCTACTTGTCTGTGTCAGCCGCACTACACGGTTACGTTTTCTACGTTTATTTACGCTTTGATTTGAACAAAAACAGCGTATCCGTGTGGTGCGGCTGACATAGCATACGCAGTTTGCGTTCAGTGGATACTCTCCAAAATGGCGCTACTGTGACGCGGAGGAAACAAACTGTTGAAAAAAATAGTTATTTTTGTTTAAAGTATTCTCGTCGCTTCATAACGTTACGGTTGAACCACTGATTGCAGATGGACTATTCTGACGATGTCTTTCATACTTTTCTGGACCTTGACAGTGTAATTTACTTGTGAGTCAATGGGACAGTCACAAGCCTCCCGGTTTTCATCCAAAATATCTTAAATTGTGTTCCGAAGATGAACAAAGCTTTTATGGGTTTGGAAAGACATGGGGGTAAGTGATTAACGACAACATTTTTATTTTGGGGTGGAGTAACCCTTTAATAGAAAGTTCAAAAGAACAGCATTTATTTAAAGTAAACATTTTTGTCTCTGAGTCAGTGCAGCTAGTCACTACAAAATAAGTTGAATTTGCATCCATACTTGTAACATGTTTATTTTAGTGATGGGGAAGGAAAAGAGGGGAACCCCATGATCGCTGGGTTCCAGGATGATTTGGACCCTGATGATGCAGAACTTGAACCCAGAGCTTCTATCCCCACTAAAGACTTGGACATCACTCTCTCCAGTGACGAGGAGGGTCCAAACCCTTCTGTAGCTCAGGATGAAGATCTGAACCCTGAACCTCACCTGTAAGCTTAGAATCCTGGCTTTCATTATTAATAGATTAGATTAATGAAACTACATTAAAGAGTGAGATCTTCATGAACTTGTAAATTGTAGCTGAAGCAAGTTTAGAATTTTGTTTGTGTTGTGGGCAACAAGTTCATTTATTTTGTTTCCTGAACCCAGTCTGGTTTTCATGGTGATTTGTTAATAATATTTGGTTATTTAGGGTGGCTATGGATTCATTATCACTGGAGGACAAACCAAAACCTATCCACAAAGAGTCATTGATCCAGGCCCAGGAGAGTGTCAGCAGTCAGAACATAGAGACTTCCATTCTTAGTCCAGAACACAATACACGACCACTGCAGACAGCGGAAGCAGAAGCCCTGGCAGATCCCCAAGCACAGGTTGTAAAACAGAAAGAAAAATCGGCTCAAGCAGAGTCCTCTGACACAGACCCAGATGAGCCCGTGGCCAAACAGATGCTTTCATTTGTCATGGATGACCCTGACTTTGAGAGTGAGGAGGAAGTAATACAGAAAGTAGATAAGGTACCGAAGTGAAGTTGATAATGATGGGCATTGTATGTTTTGGTGACTTGTCTGGATAATTTAACCCAAAAAGACCTTTGCTTTCCTGTTTGCTCCAGGAATCTTTCCCAGTTAGAGATGATATTCCTGATCTGTCCGATGATGACATCACCACAGCTAAAATTCCTGAGCCCATGAAACCTACTGTACTGTCCTTCAAAAGCAAGAATGACGGTGACCTCTTTGGCCTAGGAATCGAGGAAAAGTCAATCAAAAGCAAAGACAGCAGCGAGGAACAAGATGGTAAGTCACTTGAATAATGTTATTATAGGAAACCGATATTAGTGATAGATGATATAACAGTCAATATCGATTTTCCTAGTGATTTTTGATGCACAACTTTTAACATTTAAACGTAGTATATATTTGCATAATATCAGCCATCAATAAACGGTTTCTACTTTTCTTCTCATAGAAAAAGAAAGCAAACATTCCAAGGAAAAGAAGAAAAAGAAAAAGAGGAGTAAAGAGGTGAATTATATTCCATTATAATAATTCATAGTTGAAATTACAGACTCTTGTTTTATAACTACTTTGTATTTCATCTCAGGATGATGACAAAAGCAGCAAGAAGAAACACAAGCACAAGAAAAAGGAAAGAGATGAGGCAGGTGTGACCGCAGATGAAAAGGAGAAGAGAAAAAGAAAGTCACGAAGCAAGAAAACTGATGATCTTGAAGCTTTTCTGGCTGGAGAAGAAGACTCAGCAAAAAGAGAGGAGGGCGACTATGAGGAACTGTAACACTCGCTCTCTGCTAAAGAAATGTTTGTGCATTGGTACCACAAGCTTGAAAAAGTTCTCGTCAGAAACCACAAAAACAAATGCTTTCTTTAACAGCCCAACACATGATGATGTATTGATCTGACTGACAGGTTACGAAACACTTCACACTGGTTTTCCATTTGCTACAAACACTTGCCAATCCACCTTCCATCCCTGAAGAGGTTGGGATGGCCGGCGTAGTTCACACTCTTTGGGCTCAAACGGCAATAAGTGGAAAAGCCATGGAAAATTGTTACAACTTGCATGTAATTTGACCTTTGATGTTTTTTTCGGATTGAAATGGACCCTTTTCACTCATAACATTGTGTTTTCTGAATGTTTACATGCTCGCTTTTATATGGTTGCAATATTTTTGTCATCACATATGTGAACCACTACCACTCCAATACAACGGTTTTCATTGATTTGATTGCATTATTAGTTGCCTTGTATATGTGGATGAATTGGTATTTATGCTCGATAGATGTTCTGAGAGCTTGGCTTTGTGTAGTTTTGCTGTGCGTTTAGTGTTTGAAATGAATATACTGTATTTCATGGTAGGATTATTTGGTTTTCCAAAATATATCAAGAAAAATATTTTAGAAATGTAAGAGATTTTGGTCAATAAATGCACTCATGATATGGGGGTAGTTACGATAGCAGACATAACTATTCTCGCACTCTTTTAATGCAGGAAATGCCTTAAAGGAAACTACGGTTAAACTTTTAGTTTTTTTTTGGTTGTCAGTAATTAAGCCATTTTGCATTTTTGCACTCCATCGTTTGTCTCTTGTCATCTGAGTTTTTTTTTGTTTTTTTTTGAAGTCGCTGTTGACTGAAACTGCTTTTGCTTGAAATTGGAATCAATACAAAAATTACTACAACATTTTTGTAATGCTACTGGGTTGGTTTTCTCTCTTTTTCAGTGTGGCTTTTTTAAGTTTGTTTGAACTGCTTTTGCTTGAAATTGGAATCAATACAAAAATTACTACAATATTTTTGTAATGCTACTGGGTTGGTTTTCTCTCTTTTTCAGTGTGGCTTTTTTAAGTTTGTTTGTTTTTTTTTCTCTTTAACTAATAATGAAAGCAAGTTAGCAAAGACGGCAGACAATGTTCGACTTCACTTCAGTTTTGATACGGACAGTGTGCAATGATAAAAAAAAATGCAAATGTTTGTTATATATGCATTCTTCTTACATCAAAATTGATTGACATCAAAAGTGTTTAATTATGTGTTCATTGATGCTTTGTTACATTGCATGAATTGGAATTAAATTTTCTAATTTTTTTTGTCTTTTTTAAGTACTTTATTTGTAAAACTCTTTTCTTTTTCAAAAACGTAACACTCCATAACATACTATATATGTACAATTTAACCAAAATGGTTACCCCATACCACCCTTCTCCCCTCCCCCCAAACCCGAACATGCACCAAATATTCATGAAGGTAATCACACATCACCATCAGAAGAACCTCAGCCGGATCAAGGAAATTAAAAAGGGAAAAGAAAAAACAAAAAAGGAAAGAGGAAATACAAAATCGAATGACACGTAGCACATTAGCAGCATAGCAAAGACATCTTTAAAATACAGACCTGAGAAAGGGGCCCCAAATTTTGTCAAACATCTTTAATCTGCCCGCTCTATTGTTTTTTATATATAAGAAAATGTATTTGATTTGTTTAGGCGTATTATTTAAAGAAAGAAAACACAAAACAAATGAAACACAATGTAGCCATGCTATTAGCTGCTATCGTGTGAGCCTTTCTTTAAAAAAATATATATATATTATAAAGAATAACAACAATAGAAACTGTAGCTACATTCACACTCCACGGTTTGGGTTCAACGATGTTCATATTCAGTAAATGTGACTGCCTCATTCTTCCACCGCTTTTCTTTGGCATTAGACATCATGTAGGCTGATGTGATTATGTTGTCTGCAAATTGGATAATTTCAGTTAAAAACACGTTTTATTGATGTTATCAGCGGAGACTAAATGAGATCAAAAACTTACTTACCTTTGTATCTCCATGTTTCTCTATGGTCAGAAAAACAGTGATGTAATCAAATAAAAATAAATATTGACAGAGGTTAAAGACATGTTCAACGTACAAAGTGTATTTAGTATTGAGGTGGTTTGTGAGGACTCACTGTTGGAATAAATGTGAGTTGAGATGCTCATCACAAGGAGGAAAATAAACAAAATCCAGCGGAGGATGGACCAAACAAAGTTAAATGGAGCTGCAATGGACATGATCATAGATTAATAAACTGTAAAAATGATCGTACTTTCAATCGTAGATCGTAGTTATGCTACGGTAAAAATCTCTTAATTAGTAAGATAGGTTAAGGTAAGTTCCTTTACAGCCTAAGGTGAAAAACAGTAAGAAATCTAAGGAAGCATTTCATGTAGGCCTAATTCAATGGTAAATTACATTTACAGTTGTTAGATGTGAAAAAAGTCATCTTTTTACAGTGAAATTTGCTGTGACCTCACATTTGATGTTTTTCAGGTACAAAACAGATTTTAGTCCGTCAGCATGCAGGTTAGTATATTAGCCTAACATTATATCATTTAACGAAATATAAGATTTTTACTGCTTCAATCCGTAAAACCTTGTTGCTACCGTATTTTTACGGTAAAGTTTCTGTAACCTCAGATGCTGTTTCTTTTTTCCTTTCATTTTTTTTAACGTTTTTTTTTTTACTGTAAATTCCAGGGATTAAAACAGAATTTAAAAATTTAAAATGAAATTGAAATTGAAATGAAGAAAATTAAAGCTTGTTGAAAATGTTTTTAACAGTGCTCTCGTACACTCAAGAAACCATCTAAAGAGAAATAGAGAAGTAGTATTTCATCTTACTATTGGTAAAGTATTTCTCGGCCAGTTTAACGATGATCTTGTCTTCAGTCATGAACCCACACCAGTAGAATCCATCCCCTTGTGTGAATTTCTTTACAGAGACGGTGAATGACTTTCCATCATCCTCCACAGCTATGTTGCCTTGCTCCAAAACGTTGACACCTGGCTGGAATGAGAAGCCCGTACAGCAGTTTTCATCCACGGCATCTCTTTTGCACCACACCCTGGGCCTGCTCAGAGATATATTCTTGTTCCCATAGTGGCAGGAGAGTTTCTGCACATAATCAGATGTGCTATGTCCTGTGGAGTAAGATTTAAGTTTGTCCTCTGTGAGAAAATTAAATTATTCAATTCAATTATTCAATAACTGATTTTTGTCAGGTATGAAATCTGAACAAATGAGCCTTTGGACTGTGTTTATGTGTGTTTTGACCTTACCTGTGAGGATCATTAGCAGAAATGCTGTTATTAGATTCATGATGACTGATGGACGGCAGACAGTGCTTTGAGTCTTGAAGGATGTACTGCTCTTAAATGTTGTTGAAGAGGAAACATACAGGAAATAACTCGCCACAAACACATTTAGAAGGAGCATGTCTCTTCGTTCTCTATTTTTATTATAACACACGCAGTCATCAGAAATCCCTCTAATGGTCATCATTGAATCATTTCATGGAAAATTTCATAAATTTGCGTATTGTACACATGGCGTATTGTACAATTTCAGCAAACAGTAATAGGCCTTATGGCCAATTGTGAAATGTGATTACAATTTAAACTGTTTTCTAATTTAATATATTTTAAAATGAAATGTATTTATGTGGTGGCATAGCTGAATTTTCAGCAGCCATTACTCCAATCTTTAGTGGCACATGATCCTTCTTAAATCATTTTGGTGCACAAGAAACATTTTTATTATCATCACATTTTTAAATAGTATTTTAGTATTTTAGTATTTGAGTTATATTAAATGTTATTTATATTTGTATTTTGGTGAAACCGTGGTACCTTTGTTTTCAGTATTTTGGATGAATAGAAAGTTCAAAAGAACAGCATTTATTTGAAATCAGAAAAAAACGTTCTTGTTACGTATCGTCGTAGAGCAGTGGTTCGTACTCCTGGTCCTGGGGACCGCCACATTGCACATTTAGCATGTCTCCCTTATTTAACACACCTAATTCAGATCATCAGCTCATTAGGAAAGAGCTCCATGAACTGAACTGAGTGTGCCAGATAAGGGAGACATACAGAATGTGCAGAGCGGGGGTCCCCATTAAGAACCACTGCTGTAGAGGCTTGTTGACAAAAACTCTGGTTAACATGGAAAAGCTTAGGTCACAGCGTGTCACTATTGATCAATTTAATGCATCCTTGCTAGTTTTTGTTATGTATTATTGTTTTTTTTAAAACATTTTTATAATCGTTCATACTAGCAATTACTGTTCCCAAAAATGAAAGACCCCATGTTGGCCGCATTCTGGCCCAAGCACCCACATAATTAAGGGCCAGTTGTGAACTTTTATTTTGAAAGGCCGTGACACTTGTTTTCGTTGTTACTGACTGGATGACCAACAGGAAGTCGAGATAGTAGACCGTAAGGCTGAATTGTCACGTGTAGTTGTTCAAAATGGTAAGTAGTAAGTATAACACAACTCATTTGAATTGATAAACTCAAATTTGTTAGACGTATTTGAGTTTTGCCTGTAAGTCTTTTGGCGTGACATTTTCTCGCGCTACATAGAGCAGTAGTTTATCAAGCCAGCCATTGCTTTCCTGTTTGTGTTGTAGTGTGATCAAGGTCCATAATAAAGTGTGATGGATAGATGAACACACATTAACTGTGTGATTTGTTATCTAAAATATTAGGTCAACTAACTTTCTTAAACTAATTGCTTAATTATTCTTTGGCGATAGTATATTCGTACTTTCAGGTTCCATGAGAATATAGGTACCACTTGTCATGTCTTGGTAGCTACGTTACTAACTATGATTTCTCTTATGAAGGTTAGGTCATAAATTTAGGTTTAGTAAGATTTTTTTAAGTTCAACGAGAGTGCATTAAATTGATCTCAAGTGACTGTATATACATTTGTAATGTTACAAAAGATTTCTATATGAAATAGCCTAAATCGTGTTTTATAGAACTGTTTGTTAATCAAAGAATCTTATAAAAATATGTCACGCTTCCCACATGTATATTAAGCAGCTGCTTTCAAGACTAATAATAATAATAATAATAATAAATGTTTCTTGAACACCAAATCAACATAGTATGATTTCTGAAGGATCATGTGACACTGAAGACTAAAGTATTGGCTTCTGAAAATTCAGCTTTGCCATCACAGGAATAAATTACATTTAAAAATAATAGAAAACAGTTATTTTAATTTGTAATATTTCACAATATGACTGCTTTTTTTGGACTAATCTTTTTTTTTCTGGACAGCTTGGTGAGCATATGAGACTCCTTTTAAAAACAAAAAATCCTAAAATTCATATTGTTTCTGAACTATATTTTGTGCTGTAGCTGCGGCGAGAGGTGGGACAGAGAAAGGAATACCTGTACAGGAAATCACAGGAGGACAGGCTCTACACTATTGAAGAGAAAAAACAGAAGCTCAAATCAGCTTTAGATGGTGAGACTCCAGCCATATCTTAATCACCGTATCAAACTCTCTTAACCTGTCTGATATATTGCGGATGTCTCATTTTATGCGGTTCCTATATTTTGCAGAAAATCGTCTTTTACCCACTGAAGTTCGGAAGGAGGCTTTAGAATTACAGAAACTGTTGGAGTTTGATGATGAGGGTGGAGAAGGTGACTATTTTTCCGTCACTTATATCAGAATCCAGTTTTATCTGCTACCAGATGTAAACATATTTTCTGATATTATATAGGTGTTAGTT